ACCTCCTCCAGTCACTCACACATTACACTCATGCATTTAGCCTCCAGCTAAGGTAATCCTGACTCATCTGGACATGTGTACAGTGTTCCTCACAGGTTGCCAGAGCACACTGCAAATTTCCCATTTTCAAATTTATGCTTCATGTTAAAATGTTACATATTGAAGTGTTTGTGTTACAAAGGCAATAACACAATAAGAACAAAAGAACAAGACAATATTTTTCATAAAGAACTATGATTCACATATGCATTAGTCAAAAATGGTAAAGACTGGCTATTGCAGATTCTTTCTGCTGTCTTTTCTTTTACCAGTGTGCAGTAAATGGTTGCATGATGCTGCCTTAGAGGGAAGTCAACCAGCCTCCTACTCATCTTGTGATCTGTCAGTTGGGAAGACATTGTGCTAGTAAACAAAATGATAAAGGTCAAATGATGATTTTAAAAGTCTGCTCTGTGGTGGATAGCTCACTAGCCTCTGAACTTTGGGCCAGCTGTCAGCCTCAACATTACAGCTGATAAACCCTGTGGCACCAGCATGCTGTGGGAGAGAGAAGTCAGAAAAAACACAAGGTGCTTTGACATATTTGAATAATTCATTCACATTATTTATGTGTCCATATGACATGGGGTTATAAGATCTTTGTAGTTCTAAACTCAAGAAGAAGGCCCTAATGTGGGATCAGTAAAGTAAACCTTACCTACCCATTGACTTTTCTTTAGCTCTTGAAATGTCTTCTTTTTTTAATTTGCACCACCAAAAAGCTAACATAAACGGTTGTGACCATGATAAACTTGTGTATAGACATTTATTACTAAGCAGAAGAGAAACCAAAAGCTACTTTTACAACAGAAAATTCAGTTACTGCTTAATGGATCCCATCTGTGCTGTGATGAAGAGAAAAATCTGTGTTATCCAATTCACCTGTCAGCTCGATCATTTAGTTGTATTATTAAAGGTACTTTGTGGTAAAATGGTCTTTTTCAAATACCTTTGAACTTCTGCTCGACTGCTCTCTTTATTCTTGGACTTGGGCGTTGTTTAGGTCATGACGATCACTAAGACTGATGATGAATGACTTTCTAGCTGAGTCGTGCTCGTGTTAGCTGATGTTTTGTGTACAAGGGGAAACTGATGTGTGTCTCCAGTGCTGGTGGTAGTTGTTCAAGGACACAGCATTCATGATTTATATGTCAGGAGCATTGGGGCATCTTGAGGAAGAACATTCTATCCCTGCTCATGTCTTCAGTCTTTTCTCTTGCTGCCTTTCAGTTCAATTCACTTAATAACTTAAAAAATGTCAGAACATTACAAGATTCACACGATTTAATGCTTTTGTGACAAAGAAAATTCCACACCAGCAATTTTTCTTAACTGTCACTTTTTCACAGCTGCACAAACTCCATTTTTTTCCAAGTTTTATAAACTTTGTCAGCTCGCGACATCATCCGATGAGTTGACAACCAGACTGAATATTAGTTTATTTTTGAGCACACTCCACTGGCCACATATTTACATTTGAATCATATATATACACGAATGCTGTGTATATATACACTGGACGTATCAGTGGACGTATCAGGCCTGGTGGACGTATCAGGCCCGGTTTACCTCCGGCTCCGTGGCTCTCCCGCTGCTCTGGTCTGGTACCACTGCTCATTCGGCTGTAATTACAGAGCTGCAATGGCTATAGGAGGCAGGTAGAGGGTCTCTCAGCAGGCAGAGAGGCCCAGAGCACTCAAGGGAGCTCAAATCAACCGACCCTAGACCTCCAACGGCCCTAATTACCAGCTCACATGAGTAACAATGAGACAGAGCTAAGGTGCTGTTTAGTCAGAGATGTGCCAATCAGCTGTGGGCACCCCCTACCGGTGAACCTATAGCTTATATCTGGAGCTCATATAATAACGTCTGTGTGGAATTCACCTCTTTGAGTGATGGATAATGGAGAAGGCTGTTCTTGTTTTAATGCCATATGTACTACTTTGATTGAGACTTTGATGTATGAATATTATGTGGGGGAAATGAGGTTTTGTATGAAGGCAATTCTTAAGGAGGTATGAGATTGGTTTATTGAACCAAAAGGAAAGACATTTAGCCTTATTTAAACATTTAAGTGCAAAGGGGAGGGCACATGGCACAAAATGTTATATTACAGCTCTCTTATGGTTTTGTTGTGAAATAGGATTGTGGATAAGTGAGTTTTCATCTTTGGTCTGGTTTCTATTGGCATCGTCCATGAAAAATGATTTCTCTTGTGGTAAGATTAACTCACAAGATCCAAGTTTACTGTAGTTCTTCTGAGTCTACAGTACAAAACAAAAACAAACATGTCAATCTTAGAAGTGAGGTCCTTCTTTTTCATTGTGATAGTGGTTATTTGCCTGCAGTTCTGCAATGCATCTCTGGTTATTTGACCACTGATTCAAAAGGAAAAACGTATATGTGCAAGCCTGAGATGCAACACAAAAACAAACACATCAGTCTGAGGAGTGAAGTTCCTTTTCTGTTGTCTTGAACAATAAAAAGTAACTTGAATATATTGTAGAAGTCTGGTTTAATCCCAAGAGCGCCTCTGTGAAAGTCTCTCGCTCAGACTGAAGCTTTGGGGAGGTGTTAAAGAGTTTGGTCTGAGTTTGGAGTCAAATCAGAGAGACCTGAGGTGACTGAGCTGCTGCCGACCCTGGACTTAAAGAGGAAGACACTGCTAATACCCAGGGTGTCACAGTTCGACCTGGTCACATTTTACTGCACATTTTCACACACTTATCAAGAATACAACATTTACCACATTCATAATTATATTTAGTGTCTAGACTTAACACTTAATACTTAACTTGACATTGTACAATACTGTACTGTGCATATTAAAGATGACCTGTGTAACTTTTCTGGTATAGGGTCCATGGAGACATGCAGCTCACATCACCGGGCCAAGTTGCTGATCAGATCTGTGGAGAAGTGGATGTTTTTGTGGTAGTTTTGAGAAAAAAAACAACAACAAAACACCTGTAATTGAATAAATACAAGATATATTTGTTTAATGCCTTACTGTGGAATATCCCATGCAAAGTAATAATATCACTATGGAGACAAGCAGATGGCAGACCCCCCGACCGATAAAGTTACATGGTGCACCTTTATCCTTTAAGCCTGTGACTGTTACAACATTTGTGTTAGTTTGATATATTGCTGAAGTAAATAAAGACAATAAATGATAATATTTAAACTAATTTATGCAATGACACAATAACCCTAAAGCAGATTTAAACCTCAAAAATGTTTCTAAATGCACAATATAGTTGAAAAACATGAGCTGCAATAAATAAATAACAAAATGAAACACTTAGTAAAGGATTTAGTTTGCATCTGTAATGAGTCATAGATGTGATTCATTCAACCTTCTACAGCTCAAATCTTGTCTTATATAAATGATAAATACTGAGTCCTAGAATATATATTATTCCAGCTGTTATGTATTAAATGATAAGTCTATAATATTTATAATGACAGGCCTAGATATAGGTTTAGTTTGAAGCTAGTGGTTAATAACGCTATACTAAAACTTTAACACTTGGCACTTGGCCGCATACAGCTGTTGTGATTATCTGGGTTAGTCGTGCTCTGTGGATGCCAGGCTGTTATCCTGCTGCGTCTTTGAAGAAGTGTCAAAAACTGTTCTTAAAAAGTGAAGCCATAACACAGTATCGTATGTGGACAAAAACAGAATTCATCTCAATATTTTGGTCAAACCATTTGAAAGTTCAATGGCAAAAACAGATATCTCCATTTTGAAAAATAGCCAGAAGGTTTTGTTCTTTTTATTACCATCTTTTAGATATATTCGCAATGACAATAATCTCTTCTTTTTATCAAGAAGGAAAGGATTTATATTTTGATAGCTGTAAAATAAATTTGTTTTTTGAAAATATGACTATAGTACGAGTAAACTACAAGCCTCCAATTTCTTTTTCAAATGTCATTTATCTGTTTCTCTTCATTTTTCTATGTGTGAAGCAAACAAACATTGTGATGGAGTGAGGGAAGTCTTGATGTTCTGGAATCTAAAGTAAGCGTTCTAACCTAATTAACAAATTAGACTGTCTTGTTAACAAATTACCCCTTAAAATAGAGCAGAACCAGGGATTGAAAACAAAACAGTTGTCGATTTCTTTTTGCTTCAGCTCTGATTTATTGCTCTCACTCACCTATAAGTGTATCACAATTTGCCCCAGAGCCAGACTCTGGACCTGCCCGCCTTTGGTGGCACTTTTACCCTACGTCATAGTAACTATTTTCATTTCATTCCAGACTCCCCAAAGAACTGTGCAAAGAGAGTCTAGTTGCTGTAAGATATGCTGTAGCATGATGTTTTTAATTTGCCTTCACAAATCCATCACACGTTTTCTCTGAAGCTGAGTGGACTTTGAGGAGCTGTCCAGGTGCTGAAACAAAGAATAGAGACAGCTTCTCAATTAGTAATAGGCGCTGGTGGCTGCTGATGTCATTTTCATTTTCACGGAGGAGGATAAACTATTCATCCGCAGCGAGTGAGTGTCTCCACTTTGAGCATAGCTGAGAGAGGCGCACGGCACCAATAGTGGGGAGGCAGCCGATAGAAGGGCGCTAGTTTAATCTACGATTTCAAAGAAGACAAACAGTAGCACTTTGTGATTTATCCATTCTCTCAGTTAGAGGCTTCCAAAATCAATTTAGAGCAGAATAACGATCACCACAGATCAATTTGGTGATTCTGCAGCTCGTGTGAGAATGCAGGCAGAAGGGGAGGAGTTCGCCACGCTTACTTTTCCAGTGCTACAGTAGATCTCAGTGCGCGGCTGTCTCTGAGCGTACAGCGACTCAACTTTCCACGCGATCGCACCTCTCCAATGGACAGCACCTAGAGTCAAGTCCGGACCCCTGCGCCCGTCTCTCGTCACTTCGTAGCCGCCCGTCAACGCCACAGCTGCCGCACGTGGAGCTGGCGCGCGCCTCCCCTGAACATGGAGGGAGATGTGGACAAAAAAGAAGCAACTGCGACGGTCCGAGACTTCGACCCGATCAGCGGGAGCATCCCGGCCACGAAAGTGGAGATCTCAGTGTCATGCAGGTGAGTGGGTGTACCGGAGTTGTTTTCTCTGCGCCGTAACAGGCGCACGCAAACAAGGAGTCCCAACATTTTAACGCACTCAATGAACAATTATAGTGATAATAAAAAGTTCGACCGCATCAACTGGTTACATTTTCTAGGACTGTAAAACAAATTCTTATTCCTTCTACTCCTTCTTATGATATTATTTAATGAGACTAAAATGAAGTCACTCGTTTTGCAAATGATTACTTATATTCTGAGTCCGACTGATCCATAACTTGTTTACTTCGCCCAAACTTGAGTTAGAATTGTATTTTATTGATGCGGTGATGCTCGAATTGTCTTCTCAATTTCATGCATGCTTTGTTCCACTTGCCATTTGAAATGAGACGAACACCAAACGTTTTATTATAGCCTATACAATATCTTACTATTGTAATTTCTGCCTATAATCTATTATATAAGCCTAGAAGTAACCAAATTTCCTCGATGATACCAAATTTTCGCTGGTACATCCAAGTCCCAATTATTGTGTGCGCTGGTATTTTACGCGTGCCAAGTCCCTCGCCACAGGAGACATCCAGCGTCTATAGAGTTTGTTGGCGCTGAAAGCTCTCCCGAGGCGACGTGTCATGTGTGAAACAGGCTGGGTGTGCTGACGCTGAGCATCAAAGAAGACTACGCTTAAAACCGAATGAAAAAACAAAGGCAGGTCCCTGGGAAAGCCCTTAAAGCAGCCTCTCCTCTGCACAGGGCGGGGCACTGCGCGCAGGTAGGGTACAGTGACAGTAGGCTGTTGCAGTGGTAATAAACAGCACACCCCAGTGTGGGGGCAGGATGGCACTGAGGTTTGGTGTGATGCAGTCAGGGCGTGTTTATTCATACTGAATGCTGTTATTTCTCCAATCTGAGATACTTTAAGTTGTGGCTTTGGTGCTTTGGTGTGGTCCTCTGTGACTGAGTTGTCATTTATAATAACATCATTATCATCATTATGTCTCATATTCAACCTCACACCATCAGCTGTGTTTTAGTTAATTCCCTCAGGTTTACATAAGAACAGATGGCATAGCATAAATACATTTTTTATTCAACTCGTGTGCAGGATCTCCTAGTTCTTCTCTTATGTTTGACTATATTTCACATGCCCTGTGTGCTGCTGATCAAACCTTTCCCGTGGAGAATTGTTCAGGCGTCTATCGCCAAAGGCAGGATGCACATCTCTGCTTCTTCTGCATTCTCCTGAAGCTCCTTTGTCCATCAATGGTTTTGCTTGTGGCTTGACTGGCTGTTCATTCTGTCTAAACTCTGAAGTTTCTTGAAATCTAAACAAGCACTGATCTGTGTTATTGTTATGTTGTGTTGTTTTTGTAATGATTAAAGTGAAAGCTCTCAAAAACAAATAATAAATAGAATCATTGTAAATGCAATATATGTGTTTTTCAGTTTAAAATGTAAAAGTGTTGCATTGATGAAGTATTACATATCATCAATCTGGTGAAACACAATCCATTTGAAGTAGCTTTTGAGGCATTCAACTGACGTGTTAATGCTGATAAGTGATCCAAGGTGAAACACTCCTGGTATTAATACATTTATAGATTTTGTATTTTGTGCTGAAAATGTCCACATGTCAGAATCAGACCATTTGGACTGCATATTGGCAGGTTTCCAAACACTAATAATGCAATGGATGAATAGTTTTTCTGCTACAGTGTATTGTGGGTCTGCATGGGTCTGTCGAAGAAGTCTGTCTAAATTATACAATATAGGATTTTAGAGTTACTTTTTAGCAGACGTTGTTTCATCATTTCTATTCTTCCTGACCAAACACCTTTCTGTCTCATTAAGTCTGTGTTCTAGATTTTCCACCAGCTCCATTGCCCATTTAAATGAACTGCTTCACACTGCACTCCTCTTTCTCTCTCTGAACAAGCCATTTCCATTATGTTTTATTACTCTGCCATACTATAAAGGTACATCTGTGAAAATGGTGTTTGACATTCCTTTGAGCTTTGTTGAGTGTAGGTATTTACACAGAGCCTGTTAGATCCGTGTTGGGGTGTAATTGCAGAGCCCAGGAGCTGGACACAGTTTTAGTATAGTGTGTGTTCAGTGTGTATTCAGTGTGTGTTCTTGCGCTCTCCTTGCACACTATCACTTCTCCTTCCATCGCTGGACTTTACGCTGCAATCTGTGTGGATGCCCTGGAGCGATGGCGATCCTGCCTCTCCCCTGTCTGTCATTACTGTCTGTCCAAACAAAGTCTGGCTCCAGGACACGGGCCGTGATAGAGAAGAGAAATTCCTCCCTTGGCTCCCAACACACGGTCTGCTTCAGATGCAAAGAGCTTATTTCCTCTGCAGGTCAGCACCTCTGTGTGAGTGAAGATGTTACTGTAGCCAGCTCAAGCATCCACTCACAAACCAATGGCCTTAGGATGAAAGATTATAACAGTCACATTCATATTTCATATGTGGCTCACAGTTAAATCAGTGTTTCCCAAACAGCGGTATGAGGACACAAGCACTTACATGAGATTACACTGAAAGGCTTCTGATTGGAAAAGGTGAAATCTATTTGATAATGAAGTACATTTTTACATCCTAAAGAATGTTTTTGAGTATGGACATCAGAATAAGACAATTTAATAGTCATAATTGACAACATACTACTATAGTAAGCATATTGGTTTTATTGGTTTGGAGTTAGGGGGCACAGTCCATGTACGAGTGTAAGACAATGTTTAGGTGTACTTAACAAAAAAATGAAAAATTACCAAATTATTAGTTATGAAAATTGTGCTACATTATGCACAATTAAAACTTTTAGTTTCTCTTCAACTTGGGTTTGTTATCACATGTAGATCAAGCCAACACTCACAGGAAACAAACAAATTGATAACTGTCCCAGAGCGCCCCCTATCCTTAGACCCTCTGTCTTAGCAAGGAAAAACTCCCCAAATCTCAGTGGGAAAAAGATAAACCTCAAGGAGAAGCACAGTGAAGAGGAGATCCACACCCATGGACAGACTGATCCTATCGAAACACTCATGACAAAATAATCTTGAAACCATTTTTGTATTCTTTCCTTATACCTTTGGTGAGCTTGCACATATTCCTCAGAGCCTTCTTTGCTCCCCTCCATCAGCACATCCAAAGATCTCTGACTGTAAGTGGAAAGGATTAAAATAACACTGTCATGCATGAAGATATCAACCTGTTATTTACAAACATTTATTTTGATCATTTATACTTTGAACCAATGGGTGCTAAGAGAAAGTTATAGCCTCCAAACCTCTGTGTAATTGATTTGGCAAGCTCCAGAGCACTGTTATTGCTGTGTATGGGACTGTGCCATGCTACAGGTATTCTTATAACACGCTTCCAATATTACAGTGAGCCCCCTTGACTAACCGGGAGACTGAGGCGGACAAGCCCTTATCAAAACAAGAGCATATCGCAGTGATAGCGCATTGTTTCCTTCTTTGGTTCTGATTGGTTTTGCTGGCGGGTCCACAGCAGCTGCCTCTGTGAATGCGATGAGAGGGACACACTCCAACTGGTGGATGATTTAGCTCTTAACATTTGAGTGCTTTCTGTACATGCAATACAGTCCAAGTGTAATGTATGCAAGCTTTTCACAAATGTGGAGAAGTAAATGAGAGTGAAGACTAAAGTCACTTTATATGGCAATTATATGCATTGTTTTAATGAATTGGTTCTTGTATTATACTCAGAGCTCGGTAAAACATTTTGGAGAGTTTTTGGATATTTGAAAGGTTCACAAAAATGGTTGATTGGCCAACTAACATGATGCTACGTAGTCTAAAAATCTGATAAATCTGCCATCTTGCTCTCAAATACAGGCACTTTACCCCACCCATTCTTCTTATTGGTCAGTCATGGTCTGACTGAGTGACAGGTGGATTTAACCAATCACAGTGAAGTGTGAACTCTCAGAGGCAGCAGTTACCTCCTGATAGACATAACAATAAATGATGGCCATTTACTGTGGTGGTGCATGACAAAGTAAAAATTGTGTACTTAAGTATACATTTTAGGTATCTGTACTTTTACTGAAGTACATTTTTAAGTGGATGCTTTTTACTTTTACTCCACATTTGAGAGTAGGTATCTATACCTTCTACTCCACTACATTTTTTAACTGTATTTTTTCATTATTGTTTGAAACCTGCTAAAAAGCCTGAGGGGTGTATTTTTAACACTTTTGTAGTTTGATCAAACAAACAAAAAAAATACAAATTATAACTGCTAGGAAAAAATAAACAAAATGACTGATCCAATTGTTTCTGTTGAACAAAATTCAACACACATCTTTAACAAAATCAAAAACAAACGCTTTAGCAAACATCAAAATCTGCAAAATACTTTTACTTTTTGCTCTTTTTTTTTTTTCTTTTTTTTTACATAGGTACTTTCACACTTTTATCTAAGTAGATGTTTTCATGTCAGACTTTTCCTTTTCCTTTTTTTTTTTTTTTTTGCTCTCGTATTTGCACTTTTATTTAAGTAACACAATTGAGTGCTTCTTCCACAGGCATTTATTGCTGCATTTTAATACCTCAAACTCTTAAGTCTTCAGCCTATCCTCTCTGTGCCACTTTGCACATAGTCACCTACTATTTAAAGTACTTGGATTTGCACATTTCATTTGGCATATGAGAGCTATACTAACACCCTGCAAATCTTATGCTTGTGACTGGTACAAATAGTAATCTAATTTTCAACCCATGTTGCTGGATTCAAAAACGGTAAAGTCAAAAAGCCTATTGTCATATTCCTACAGATAGGCCTGTCACGATAACAAATTCTGAAGCACGATATATCGATAGAGAGAAATATTGTGATGAACAATAATATTGAAACCACTTCATGACACAAAGCAGAATAATCCCAGTAAACACATTTTTAAATATAGAGCAGTATTAAAAAGCCTGAGCTGCAACCAATAAAAGGCTGACTGAACCTATAATTAACCATAACAGTTATTTATTA